TAGATTCCCATTAAAATCAACTTTAATGTGTTTAGTTAAGATCATCTATGGCTTCGAAAGTTGTCCAGGATTGTATGCAATCCATTACTGTTTCACTTTTCGTATTGATATTTAAATTATTTTAATCGTTCTATTTGATGTGTCCATAAATGTCTTCGTCAAGAATAAACTCGAGAAATTTTTCTTGTTTCGGACATTAAGGTCAATCATATGTTGAGATTCTTGATAAAACGTTAACTGCCATACAAACATAGGTAGAGAAAAATTTGAAATTTGTTTTTTCTCTTGGTTGCTGTCAACATTAAGGACTGTTTTTTTTTCTCTTTTACTAATTGTGGTGATAAACTAGATATTACCTATAAAGTTGTTCTATTACACAGTTGTGATGAACTGATTATTTTGTTGAGGGTGAGAATCAGCGACTAAATTATATTCATATCGCACTAATACTCATCTAGATTCTTGAGGATGGGTGTGAGTATTATATTTATCTCATCCACACTAACACTCACTCCTATACTCACTTCACATAAATCCATAACTATTCACCTTTGAGATTTGAATAAAACAATTATCAAATCATTGACTGAATTTTCATAAATTTAAATCATTTTATTTTCAAAAAATTCATTTAATAAAAAAAGGAATTTTTAATCAATTCATTTCTTTTCATATTTCATGATTCGATGATTTCCCCAATCAACAACATAAAGATTCTCTTCATCATCAAATGACAAACCATAAGGATTATTCAATTGATTCAATTCGTCTCCTTGACCATTTCCACCAACAATAATTTCACCTTCTTTAGCTCCTTGACACCAACGCATTACTCGATGATTTCCACCATCTGCCACATAGATTTGACCTAATTGATCAACAATTACTCCCTGTGGTTCAGACAATTGTTTGAGACTAGATCCTTTTCCTTTTCCACCAGCAACAATAATTCCTTTTTCTGCATTTTTTGTCCATTTCATCACACGATGATTGTACCAATCTGATACATAAAGAGAATCGTCACCATCGACAAAGATAAAACCAGGACAATTCAGTTGATTGTGATCACTTCCTTTTTCATTTCCACCTGCAACAATTGTTCCATTTGCATCTCCTTCTTTCCATTGTCTCACGTCATTATTAACAATATCAGAAACATAAATAAATCCATTTTTATCTATTGACAAACCAAAACAATCAATATCAGAAATAAGAATTTGTTGTATTCTTTGATTTTGTAGAGACCATCTTATCACTCGTTTGTTCCCAGTATCAGCAATGATCAAAGAATTATTTTGTTTATCAACAATAATATCTGTTGGACGAGATAATTGATCATTTCCACCAGCAATGATTTGTACATTGTTCGAATCATATTTCCATTCGGTAATACGATGATTTCCAAAATCAGCGATGAAAATATTGTTGTGATGATCAATAAAGATCCCATTAGGAGAAGACAGTTGATTTAATTGATCTCCTTCTTCATTTCCCCCCGCAGAGATAATTCCATTTTGTTTCCATTTGATTTGTTCTAAAAGTATAAAGAAAAATTGAATTATTCTCTTTTTTAACAAAGTTTTTCAAAGAAATCTTGAGGGTGTGAGTGTAGGTATGGGTGCTGTGTTATTCTTTTACCCAGACCCACATCCAGTTTGAAGTAGAAATGAAATTGTGAGACGAAGGAAAGTGAAGAAATTAAAATCCCGATGAAAATCGAAAAGTTGGGTGTGGGTGTGGGTTTCAGGATTATACCCACACCCACACCCTCACCCTTGATTTTCTCTCAATTTCGCCAACTAAAATCAGTCTGAAGAAATATTTTGAGAAAACACTTCTCACATAAAACCTTGCGTTCGATAAGATCTTCTATCGATTGATGAAAAGTGCAGATTCTTTTGACTTCTCATTTCAAACTAATGATCTGTTATTAATTCGAATTTAATCGGTTAAATTATTCTTTCTCAAAATTAAAGATTTTCGTTGGTTGATGAAGAACGAATGAAAGTAACTCACGTGATGCTCTTGGATTTGATGTGATACTTAAATTCTTCATAGGCGATGTTACTGATTCATCATCATCATCATTATCATCAATTTCAATTAAATGTACAATATGTGACTGATTCGACTGTTCTAATGGATCGCTTTTAACACGAAATTGTGTTCCAGTTTTCAAAACAATTTCATCTTCACCTTCATATGCTGTGTAACCAGAAACTTTTTTTCCATTCATAGTTTCAATTAAGAAAAGAGTTGAAGATTTATTATGTCCGATAAAACTCTTAATAACATTAACTGAAGATGAGCAAGAACTAACCGTCCACCATGTTAAAAGTTGATTTTTAGTGAAATTCTTTCCAATATCAAGAGGAATACCTCTCCATACACTTTCTTTCATAGTTGGTAATTTATCTAATGCCGTATCGAATAGTTTTAAATAAGGAAACCATATTTTAATATTTTGTCTATTCTCATCTCTAAGTGCTTTATTGAGAAGACGATATAAACTTGTTTCATCCCATTCCATTGTATAAATATAAACAGTAGCTGATTCATCACGTGTTAATCCATGTTCTGATGGGTAATGACAATATTTTTTAGCTGTTTTTATATAACCTTTTAAATCATTAATTTGTGGTTCAATAGGTTCTAAAGCTTTTTCAATTGAAACAAGTTGTTGATTTTGATAACCATAAACTGCTGGAAGTCTTTTCAATGTTACATCAATATCACTAAAACGATTCATTATCGACGGCGTTGTTTATAATTCAAAGGAGTTAATTAAATTATTCCAGATTCTTTTTTTTTTTATCTATAACAGAAGAATAAAATTCAATATTTGTTGATCTCGATAATGCGTCTAGAATATGAAAGAGTATGCGAGTGTGGATGTATTACTAAGAACAGCATTTTATTTGCACATCATCTCCCTCACGCGCACCCTCAAGAAATCGCAAACTGTCATCTTTACTTACGATCATATCCTGAGTGAAAATCTAATCTCTGATCTTATAAATAGAAAGTCGGTACTTAAACCTCGCCTTATCCTTTTAATCATATTCGAATTGAAACATCCACTCGTAATCACACATAGGCTTTAAGTCTCATGCAAACGTAATCTCGAAATGTCATTTATAGATAAGATTCGAACACGAACGATCAGTGTTTGGGTTTTGTTCTATTGCCAATCTTGTAGACATTTTTTCGAATAATATCCGTAAATTATATATGAGCTAAAAGAAATATGGCGAGTCGACACATCGTAATATCAAATACATAGAATTTTTTTCTCTTTGAACATTTTTTTGAGAAGTATTAGCATTAGAAAAATATTTTATCTATCGTCAAAGTCGAAGATATAGTATTTGGATGCTTGCATTTATTTTTCTGTCGAATGCATGTGAACCCTCACGTCTTTCACTCAAAACGATTCAATTTGAATTAGTTGTACTTTAATGATTGGATTCTGATTCAAAGATGTCTATCGCGCTTGAAAACTGGCCACTGTCGTAGCGCCATGGATAGTTCTGTTTGAAAGAAGGTGAATTTGATATTCTTATGAATACCATAAAATATTAGTATTTGACTTTCTATATGCATCAATACTTGCGAATATTTCGATTATATATTTACTATCTAAATATAACTCAATTTGTTTGACATTTTTTCAAATAATTTAAATGTAAAACTTGCCAGAATGAAATTGTTCCAATGAAATGATTTGAAAAAGCTTCTAAATCTCGGGTTGTATTGTGTATGTGTGCCTGTATGTTCTTCTTATCGTCGAATAATTCGTGTTATTTATTTTATAAAGTAAGAACATTTGTAACTTTTTCTACCAATGACGTATTTTATTGCGAAAGAATTGTGCACACATTAAAAAAAAGACTTTCAAGGTTAACAACAAACAAAAAATGTTACTAGGAAGAAGAGAAAAAGAATTCATAAGGTTTTAAATGCATCAAAATAAAAAAACTCTTGGCAGACGACAGAATTTTTCTTAATGGAAAATAAATATTTCTTCCAAGTCAAACTGACTATAGAAAATAAAACTTAATTAAGGAATATGATTGGCGTTGTTAGGCAGAAGTAACAATCATATTTCATATTTGAGTTTTATTTTTTCTAATCTGTTTGACTCATTCAAAAAATTATTTGAATAAATGAATAACTACAAAGAGAAAATTGTTAGCGTCTACAGGTGTCACTTAGTGACGTTATCGTTCATACGTATATAAAATATCATGATAAAACACAGAACTTAAACAACCAGCAAAAAAAGAAGTATGACGAGGTTTCTTGTGATGTTTTTGCCTTTCCTTTGATCTCATTTGTTTGTCCATCATTTATCCTTTTCGTTCCTTCGTTTTTTTTTAATTGCTGATGATCTTTTTTCTCTCTTCCTCCTTTTTTTGATTTTCTAGTTGATCATCTTTCCTTGTTTGTTATCATTTCAACATCGTTCTGATTATTATATATCACTATCCGACGAAACAATTATTGTTCAAATAAAACTATGCCTTGTATTTTTATCTTAATGATACCTTAATAATTGATAGTTAGATTTCAATAAAATAGAATCATTCGATATATTTCCATTTTGTTAAAGATTTGAACATAATTAATAAATATTTATGTTTGTGAAAAAGTTCAATATTATAAATATATATAGTAATAGTTAACTCAAAACTAGAAATCACTCTTGAATAAAATATAAATCAAAGTCGAACATTTTTGGATTAATTAGAATTTTCTGTTGGCTGAGTTGATTTTGGGACATTACTGTCACCAACAGATGTTGATGTCAATAAGGGTGGTTCTTTATTACGATCATTCATTTTTACTCGTGCTATTGCATCCATGATCCATTGTAATGATTGAGTTACCTTATTATATATAACAGCACAATTTGTGAATGATAGAAAAAATAATAACTAGTATATTACCTTTTGTGAAAGATCTTGCATTTGTTTATCAATCTAAATAATATTTTAGCAATAGTCTTTCGATAATTTTTAACAATAATTATTTCTAAACTGGTTTTTTCCTCTTAAAGTTTCAAAACATGACTTAAAAAGTAAATTTTCTGTATGATCAATTTGAATGTTAACATAATGTCAGTATAGAAATAAAGATTAAATTCAAACGTGCATATAGAATATTACTTATTCATTTTTGTTCGCTATTTTAGAATACTCATAATGGAAATTCTTACAAGTTTGTTTGCTTACTTCATTCATCTTTCGTTGTTGATCAGAAATTGCTTTCATTATCTCAGATCTATAGAAAAAAAAATGCTATAAAAACCTTTTACAAAATGTTGATCATACTCATTCGTGCTAGTTGTGCTTTGCGAATGATCATCATCAGGTAACAAATGATCATTCTTTCTAACCTTTTCTACTTTTGATTTAGCACAATTGTGAGTCGCAGCACTTTCAAATGCATCCCAGCGATCGCTTGTTAAAGTATTAGGTTCTGCGATCATTTCTGAAATATTTTGTTATATTCCTTAAATGGGACAAATCGAATTTTCAATCTTACTAAAATTACGTAATAATGTTATTGACTCTGTATAATATTTAACTTCAGTTCGTTTACAACATAATTTTGAATAAATATAACGAATAAGTAGTATAATATGTGAAACTATGATTAATGGTGCATAAGCGCATGGCGGTTGTTCAAAATACTCACGAATAAATGAATAACGTTGATAACGCCAATAAAATTCTGTGTTTTCTTTTACTTTATCAATTGTATCACTAAATTTTCTAATTGGTCGTCTTCAATAATAAAAAATGAATACTTACGTAAAAACAGCAATTAATAAATTCAATATAAGAATATTAATGAATAACATATGAAATGCTAATAAAACATGTGTAGCAGTTGCTTCAGCAATAAGTGATTGTGTTCCATCACTAATTATCTCTAAATAAATATAAATAAAACAAAATATTATATAGTATTAAACTAGAAGAATCTTTACGATCAAGTAAATCTTTATCAGATACATCTCCATATATAAACCAGTATGGTTCATAAAAGATTTCTCTCAATATATCACTACCAGTAAATGGAATCTGTCGATAAAAAATTAATGCACGAGATACAACACCATATGCAGCTATTGCAATGAAAATTATATAGAAAAAAGCAGCTAGATCACGAAGCTATAAATGCATTTATTTATATATCGCATATCTTATTTAATACTAATATACAAACCATATTTTTAAGCATAAATAATCTGGGTCCTACATGTTTTAATGCTACAACAAATTTCAATGAGCTAAGATACCATAGTTCAAGATCAAATGCCCATATAATTCTACAATGATACTATTTATTGTATATATTAGTCATATGAATACACAAACCTTCCAGTAGTAAAGATTTTATCATCATAACCACTATATCGAAATATTAGACCAAGATAAAATAATAAATATGGTGCAATATAAAATATATTTGTTGAAATTGTTAATATAGTTGATCCGGTTGAACCCCATCGTTCAACCATTCGATATTTATATTCATGAGTAAGCTTTATTAAAGAGTAAAATAAACGTTTTTATCAATTAAAACTTTACCTTTCGAATCTCTTCACAAAACATAGTTGATACTGTAATAATAACATAGATTTCAGTCCAATGTGGAATTCCCAATGTATCTGGACTATTGAGATGATAAAGCATCATATAACTAAATACAAGTAAAAACCAAATATAACTTATCTAAATAAATAAAAGAAACATGAAAGAATTAACATATTTGGTGTAATAGAAATTTATTTACAAAATGATAACACATTCTGATAAATGGGCTTCCGTGAAAATAGCGAAAGCGAGTCCAATATTTTTTGAATGCATTTTTAGTTGGTTCTTTATCAGCATAATAGTTGATACCTTTTGATGATAATCTAAATAAGAAGTTAGATTAATTTGACAAAAAAAATTAATATCTATTTACGATATCTCTTGTGTATTCTAAAGGTCAAATAAAAAAAAATTATGAGTATAAAAAAGATCTTCGTGTACGTACAGATTCATTTTCTCGATATGAAATGATACATGGTGCTAAAAGTCCAAAAGTTATTATGGATAGAAACTGTGCCGGTCTTGTTAATGTTTGATTATTTGTCATAGATAATTGATTGTACCATACTTGAGTCAGTGTTTGATCAAAACAAGCTGTTCCGACTAGTTGAATATTTTCGCTTGAAATGGCAATCTAAAATTATATTTGAATATCGATACTAAAAATGTTTTTTGATAAATAACCTGCATACATGTGATATTACCAAAAAGTGGTACTTGTCGTAGAAGTAATTCACATGCTGATCGTTCATTATATTTGTAACAGTCATTGATAAAGTCGGCTGCATATTTTCCAAAGTCATCTGCTTGAATTTGAAATTTTTCTTTGAGATCAACAGTTAACGACTTTTTTGAATATTGTTTAAATATAGCTGAAGCTATCAAAGCAGCACATATACGAGATTGTTGATGAATGAGAAGTATTTTCGCCATTTCAGGCATATCCATGAATACTGACCATAAAAATAAATCACGTAATAATTTATTTTTTTCAAGTAAATTCTCCGTATTATTATTTTCACCTGAATCTTCTATGTCATTTTTTTTACGTAAATCTTTCTTATTATTTTGTTGATCTTGAGATTGAGTATCTTTATTATATTTTGGAAAAACTTGGCTGTTCTTTGAAGCATTATCGTTTATTGCACTATTGCAGCAACTACATACATAATTTGTCAGATCAATACAAATACGTTTTGTATATGTATTATATTCTTTTGAATAAATTGCTTCAATAAAAGAACCAATAAATCTATTTAACTTTATATCAAGTGTCTCTATTGTTTCCCTGATTGGTTCACCAAATAATTCTTTTATATAGCTACCATTGCTCTTTATTAAAAAGAAATTTTTCTACCGTAAGCATTAGTTTAATCTTATAATCATACCTTATTTATTTCCGCGAAAGTATCTTGATATAATTTTAATAGCTTTTCATGGCGTTGTTCTTCAACATTTTTAGTACAAATGCGTTTCAATGGATCAAAAGCAGCGGCAAGAAAATGTTCAACATGTCGAATACCAAAGAGTTCAATTGGACCAACACCAGCAGCAGGAAAATGTTCAACACGCTGAATACCAAGGAGTTTAAGTGGATCAAAACCAGCAGCAAGGAAATATTCAACAAAAACTGGATGATTTTCTATCAATGAATCTCGAAATAACTTTTTGTAACATGTCATATATTTCTATTATAAAAAAAGAAACAGTAAATTGTATACTATTAATAAATCTCACTTTACCTCTTTAATTCCTTTAATTTCTTTATTATTACTCTTAATTTTTTGTCGTTTTTTTAATATTGATAAAGCACCATCAAAATAGTTCCATTGAGATGCCAGATCTAATAATATATCTTCATCCTCTGCATACTGCTTATCTTGATTTTGCTCTTCATCTTCTTGTCCACTACTATCATTGCTTTCATTTTGTTCTTCATCTTTTTGTTCACTACTATCATTGATTTCATTTTTCTTATTTTTTACTTTAATAGAAATATGAAGTAACTTCGTTTTTATTTGATCTCAATACATACTAGTAAAAATAGCTTTAAATATTGTTTCTGCTACACTTTTATCACGGTCCATACGGAAAACATATAGTAAATGACGATTCTTTTTAACCAATATCTTTTGTATTCTTTCTGTTATTTCACTGATTTCATCGTTATCGAGACTAGGAAAGAATTCAACCAGAGCTTTTCTCACAACTTCATTTGATGGAGTACTAAAAGTAAAAATATAAATAAACATTTCTATCATCTAACAGATACATGAACTATTTAATCAACTCACAATTGTTGATCATTCTTTGCATCAGCTGTTTGATTGATTAATGAAGCAAATACATCTGCTAAACGGCCACTATCCTACATATAAAATAATGTAATTCTCATTTTTCAATAACATATACACACTTCAATAAATACAATGGGCCGTTTTTTTCGTATGTCATTTTTAAGAATTTCAATAGTATTCCTACCACCTTCGACGATAATTGTTACACCATAACCTTTCAATATTATTCATTCAAAACAATTATAATATTTCAATAATACATACATTTATGTTCATCATCTTCACATGCTTCTTTAACTAAATCACGTCGTTGTTCATCACTTAGATAACCACTTAGTTTACCATCGTCAAACAGAATACAATGTGTATGATTTCTTTCGATGGTTTCGTCGGTATCGGCATCATTATCAGGGATTTGTCGACGGCGTAACTCTGATGGATAACCCTATCAAATAAAACTACTTATATATTTAACAAATAATGTCATTTTATTGATACTTTAGTTGTATATTTTAATTCAAAACGTGTACTTTCATTGATTGTTCCCCATTTTGTTAGCCCGACACAAATAATTTTATTTGGATTAGCTTTCAATAAACGATAATGAGATATTCCTTCACCAACTAATTTTGAAACACCATTATTAATACCAGTAGTTAGAATCCAAGCATCTTAAAATAACAAAAAAGTTGTATATTTACAGATACATATATATAATTTACTAGACGTTGCTGCAGCATCAATTATACCACGTATAATTTCTTTTTCTAGTTTTTCAGTCATAGTGAAATATTTAGCACCACCATAAACACTTAAAATGAGAGTTGGTTTTGTACCTCCACAATCATTAAAAAGCAATTTATAGATAGACCCCATACATGAGTGTTGATGAATTCGAATGTATTTACAACCAACACCCTCAGTGGATTTTAATACTCCGTATACAGTCACACGAGCAGTAGTATAATGTTCGTTTTTAGATTTCTTTGGAGAATTTGGTGTCTCAGCATTGTTATTGTTTGTATTTGGTGTCGTAGCATTGCCATTGTTTGCATCTAGTGATAAGTAGGGATGATCAAAACTATGGCGTTGAACTAAGCGACCACAATAACATTTCTTGTTTGCATCATCTTGATGAGTCTGTACTTGTTTATTATTACAGGTACGACAGACGATTTTCTCAGCTGTTGTAATACGGGAAACCAAATCTTCCCATGATTCTTTTGATCCCATCTAAAACATTTTAGATATGGCTTATTATTTTTAATAAAAACGAGATCGAATAAATGTTACATAGTAGATAAATGAACATTTATAATTAGTTTGATATATCAATATTTGGAACGATGATTAAAAGTGGATTGAAATATGTGGATAGTAATTAGTATTGTCACTTATTTGGAAATTAGTATATGACTATTGATTCAGATGTAGAGACAAAGAATGGAGTCCAGTGTAAAAGATTTTTAAATACTATGAAACTGGTAACAATTAGAATAAATATTGAAGATGACAAAGTCGGAGTATTCAATGTATAGGTAATATGATTTTTGAACTTAAGTTAAAGAAAGTTGGAATCAACAATATTATCATGCCAATGAGTATTGCAAGTAAAGTGAGAAAGAGAAAATCATTCGTATAAAAGTTGTTTACATATTTTTGAAACGATGTCTCAGTATTTTAATACTATCACTTTTAACACTCCTTTCTACGGATCTTACTACTTTTAATAAATTCGTCTTGATATGTTTAATTAATCAGTTAAATATATATTCTAATATGGAATTACTAGATCTACATAGTAAATAGAAATAGAATGACTTTGAATGTGAAGTTCAGATATGAAAAAAAGCTTTAGAAAAGCTGATTCAGATTAGTTTTGATCTTTTTGGGGGCTATACTTTAAGTAAAGGTTTATGTTTCTCGAGGTTTGCAGAGATAAAAATAATCTTTCATATACGTATCATGATAATAAATATGAATTTCTGAATATATTTAGTATATATCTTACGTATTACTACTTAATTCAAATAATGTATTCTTTCCTTTGTATGCGGTATTATAACTGTTTTAGAGAAACTATCATGATCAATAGTAACTGTATTTTCAACATTAAAACTTATTCTTAATCCTTTTAAATGTTTTCCTATTAATAAACGTGTACTCTCATTTGTATTAGTATCATGTAGATAAAAAATATTCAGGAATGACTGTAAGTTAACTAATGTACACTCATATTCATACCTACAGAGCGCGTCAACTAAAATAAAACTCCGTACTAACTTTGTTTGAAAGATATCTCAAATATGTTATATGCATCAAAACTTTGTATAATGTTGTCTATCAGAGTATGTTTTATACGGATAATCAGAATAAAACTATCAAATACATATAGTTACACATGTATTAAATATTCAATTAGAATATATTTTAAGGAAAATAAGCAATCTTATTTTTATTATAAATGAATATACATACTTATCAAGTATTGTATTAACTGAAAAGATGTGACGAGGTATATATTGTTTCAATCATTTCGATTCTTTTCTTCTTTAATTATTAAAAAATAATGTCATTCCTTTTTTCTTCGTTTATATATATTTATTTCCTTAATTATGATATGTGCATGACTGAAATGGTAAAAGAACTAGTAATTCTTTCCATAAAGAAAAAGCGAACTAGAAAAAAAATGTGCCGATCATTTAATGCTAGCGTTTCCTTGAAACAATAATTCTATAGAAATCGATATTCTACAAGTTTTTTTTTTCTTTCAATCTGGCGATTTACAATGCATGCAATAACTAATGTTAACTGCATTTCCATATATTAGAGAACCGTAAATATGCGGCTAGACATAATATAAATGAATTACCTTTAGGTAATGTGGATTTTTCATGAAAAAGAAAAAACGTTCTTTTCCTGTTTTAAAAATACATGTCTGTTCCTTTAAGGCTCATATTTAAATACAAAGTGATTTTAAATAAATGCTGAATAAAACGTTCAATTTTTTCTAAGTAATTTATTCAAGAGAATTCTAAGTAAAAAAATGTAATTTTCTATATAAATTATTATAAACTAATAAGTAACTATATGAATTTTGTTCAGTGAAGATTGATGAATAGCTAAACGATAAATCTAACTGCACAGTTATTGTAAGCTGGTAAAAAATTGAAAGTAAACTGGTTTAACTTATATACTTCAAACTTTGAACAAATTTATAGGCAACCTTTTGAGTTTTCTCTTGATTTTTTCAAATTTCTGGTACAGTTTACATTCAATCGAATTAGTTGTTCAATTATATTATTGCACTTTTCAAGTATTATTGCTTCTTTCATTGAAATTTCATTATGTTTTCGTTTCACTAGAGAATGAGTGTGGGCGTAGATTGGATGGACATAATACACCTACACCCTCAAGGGAGGGGTGACGAGTTATATCTTGATAATCATATGAATGTTAGTTTTGCTAGTATGTTTTTTTCTCAAAAAAATAAGATATTTTTTTACTTGAAGTTATTCTAAGTTGAATAGAAAAAAAAATCCATTTACGTTGTTCATTAAAGAGTTGAATTAGTTCATACTCACACAGAATATTTTACAATTCTTTTATGTGAATAAAAAAGTAGTACAAAAGGTATTTGCAAATAATTTACATAATTAATGTCATTCATTCAAAAAAATAAATAATAATGTAAAAAGAAAAAAAGAATATATATATATTTCTTTTCAGAAATGCACTAAACAATTTTTTGGATTCTTTAACAAAAACATCAACTGATGTCTGTTTTTGGTTGTTATACTAGCATAAATATTTGTATTAATTATTATATATGATAAAACATGTCATACAGTTTAAATAATGTTTTGCTGCTATGTTAGAGGAAAGACTCAACGTTTTACATCTGTCAATACTTAAATTTGTACACAAATAGAATCAAAAATAGTTTATCGAATAATTATTCTTCTATTAATTATATTAATTCTTTGAAGGCGGGTGACACTTATATGCGTCGTCGTTTCTGAATTTGTCGAAATCACAAGATGGCAACTATCTATTTATTATTCTATATCACATTGCTGTAAACTTCCAGAATATATTATATACACATATGTATGATATATCTCAAACAGGAAATGAAGTTAATTAAAAAATTAATAGTCAATTATTTCTAAGGACTTCTTTTTTTCTAGTTATTGATCAAAAGAAAAACAAGCCCGTCGCCAAACGATTAAATAATTGGTTTACTCATTACAATCTATGTATTTATAACATATGTTACACACGATATCTCACTGGTTTTATTATGATCTTTTTGTTTAAATTTAAGAATTATTTACTCTATATTCATATAAGTTTCCTGAAACTAACTACAGGTGCACTCTCATTATAATTATATTAAGTTAGATTTCCACTAAATGAACCCTTTTTTTTCCTATTCATTATTCTTTTAACAGTTTGGAAATACACCAGATGAGCATTTTTTTCTAATCATTTTAATGTTTGAACGCACACATGTCTGGTTAATCTTATTTACGTTGAATTGAACTGAGTAAGTCGTTCGTGTGACTGAAAGAAATATAATATTCAAATAATGACATATATTTTTGAGGAAACACATTACTTAATAATCATAGAAAGAAACTACAGGTATTTGTTCTAAGTAAATTAACACTTTTTCATTATAATATTCAACTAGAACTTTTTCCTACGAGAATAAATGTAAGAATCTCACATGATGATAGTTTTACATGAAAAATCTATCTACTTATTTTCTTTGCCATTATTTTCTAGATGAACACAATAACTTATTTAGATTCTTTACCAAAAGATTTAAATTCTACACTTACAAATATCCAGTCATGGTTTATTCCTATCGATATTCTAGTACTTATATGTCTTTTCTTGACTATTTTACTAGCTTCATTATTTTTATATATTATTTTTATCGATAAAAAATGCCATACAATTCCAATGATGTTTGTAGCTAATTCATGTTTAGCTTGTCTTTCATTTACGATTATAATGTTTTGGGTGACAATTATTATGCTTTACAATGATCTTAACCAAATTTCATATGCAGATTCATTTTGTATTTTTCGAGGTTATATCAGTTATGTTACCGCAAGTGAATTATTCTATGCATATTTCTTACAAGCTATTTATAGTTATATAAAAGTTGTTTATCCTTTTCGATTAATTTGGCAATCAGTGAGAATGCAAATTTTTCTTATTGTTATAACATGGATATCTCCTTTTATATGCATTTTACCACATGTACTCACTCATGAAATTAAATATCAAGTTGATGATCAAATATGTCAGATGCTACTTCATCTTTCCGTTGTAACCGTTTATAATGTATTTTATATCTATATAATACCAATGAGTGGAATTGTTATAATTTATATAAAATTAGTTCGATATGTTAAAAATATGCGTCGACGTGTTACACCTGCTAATACTTTAATTCGTGCACAAAGAGAGTTAAAAATGGTTTATCGAATAATTATTCTTCTATTGATTTTATTAATACTTGGTTTACCTATTACAATTTTTGTTTTTATAGGATTTATTGGTGAACCATCAAATTATCATTTGCGTAAAGCGTATACATCCGTTGGAATCTCGTTAATATTTGTAATAATTGCATTATTTAAATTTACAGATCCAGTTAAAAATTCAATAATGAAAAAATTGAAACGACGATCGAATATTGTGGTAGCCATAATGGCATAAAAGAGAATAAGGAAACTGATTGATGAAAAAATAAACATGTTTGATATTGTTTTGTATTCCTATTATTTAAAGAATTGTGAGAAATTTCTTGTTTTTCTTATTTGAATACTTCAGTTCATTTTTTTCAATATGTTATACTTACAATGAGAAAAGATAGATTCAAACTTGTTATTCCATGACGATGGTAGGTGCGTGTTTTTTCTATTCTACCCACACCCACATCCATCTAGTCGCAAAATAATACCAAGAATCTTCAAATTCAAAAATATATACATCGTCCCAGTTGAACCATAAAGAACGATATTCCGATGATTTTTGCTGGCTTTATATTCTTCTTTTTAGGGCGTGGGTGACCCTAACAGCAACACTCACCCTCACACATCAAAATCAAGCTTTAGTTATTCATGAATAATTGATAAAATAAAATAGCAATAAGTAGTTTTTTGATTAAATGATGAAAAATGTTCGTTTGCCGACTATTATTTACGTTTCGTGATTGTCGAAAGATCATCAATGACAGCCAAAGACATAACAGGCTTATGCCATTCATCTCGACTTTCAACACCATGAAATCCACCCACCACGTAACATGTCTTTTTCTCATCTGTATATTCACTTTCAAATTCTACCGGAGCGACAACTGAATGTAATGTAATCTCTCTGATGTTGCACGATGTTTTCGTATGTAGTCCATAGCAGAGTTGAAGAAACCAGCCAGTAAGTTGTGTCCAGCTCCTAGTAAATAGAATTTATCAAAATGATATTAAGTCAATCGCAGAGTTATCGCAAAGATAAACAACGAATGGAATCAAAAAAATTGTTTCACTACTGTGTTAGAAAATGTAAGAGAAATCACTCACCCTGATCCAAAACCAATGTGTTCGACGTTAAATATTTTGTCCCAGAATTCATTATCTACCTTACCACGATAAGTGCCAATGAACTGATCGAGTATAGGTAAGAGACTCTCGACGTAGGTCGAAAAATCGTCGTTAGGCGTTGTAAAAGTCTTTAATTGTTCTGTCTTCTGTCGAAGAAGTAACCAATCATCAATTGTGCCCATAAAGTGTACTTTTCGGATGCCACACCTTGTCATCGACAATCCATACTCAAAATACTTTTTGAAAGTATTCATGATTGTAGCGCAAGACAAAAGCGATTCAACCTTGCCTGTAGTTGAATAGTTGGCCGTTAAAAGAGAAACAACATCGTTCTTAACATTTTTAGTAATTTCCACACGTATACTCTCGAGAAATGCGTTCCAGCTATTAAAAAAAGTAAACGTTTTCTTAGAAGTTTGCAAAATTAATGAAAGTCTATGAACTAATCTCTTACTCAGGATCCGGTTGTACTTGTTCGATGGTCAATTTGATTTTTCCATCATGATTGACCAAGAGATGTCGCAGTTTCTCAGCATTGTCATTGGCATATTTTGCAAAATAAATCGTTATCATCAACCACAGATCACTAAAAGACATGAAATAAAGACATACTATTACGTCATCAACTTACTCCGGTGAAAGAACAATATCTTCATGTGAATTATAGGCACTGAGATATGCACGAAATATTGCATGACCACCAGCAGGTGATGTGTCTGAAAATATAGACAAAAATGCAAATATACTCAGGCTATTAGATAACATGCTGCAAGCGTTTTTGATCTAGATTTTTTGTCTTCGCCTTTTACTTACACGGTCCATTTGAAATTGTATGTTGCACCTTGAATTGATCATTCTCAAAATTATTCCTATCCCATCTATCACTGGCAAGATAATCGATGACTCCACGAATCCAATGATCTGCTGGAGGTAAGTCCGTGGGTATATCAGCGCTATATTGCTTCTCAATTTTTGGAAGATCACCACGAATGACGACTGTATGAAATCGTTCGTTTGCAGAACAAGCACTCATGATCACGAGCGTTGATGTAGATTGTTTGTGGACAGAAGAAAAATAAAAGAAAGAAAATATTATATATCTCTTGCGTTCTTCTGCACATTGGTAGCGACGATAAACACATGGATACAAAATGTAATTGCAACATGTAACGTCTTTTTTGTGAAAGCATTTTCTCCGTCTTGACTTATTCTTTTTTATAACATGTGACATCATCAACTGAGTCATTCATACGTATATTCTTTTTTTCTATTGAGTTCTTTAATGTATCACTCTGTGGTGTTTAACATTCTTTCCAACAAAGATTATTTTATCGTCATAAAATGCTTGATAAACAACAGAAAAGAAAAAAAAAGAGTCATCAATTACGTTTATTCTTTTAAAATTCTTTCACTTACTTTTTTCTCCTGACAAAAAAACGTTAGTGGACTGATTTACGGCTTCTGATTGAGATATGTTTGAATTTGTTTGGCTTGATTGTACTGCTGATTCCACTGAAGAAAATAAAGAGATTCAAAAGAAACTCCGTCATATCATTGAAAAACTGCGTACATTTGATAGTGTTGAAACATGTGAAAAATATCTTCGAAATACTCCGAAAGAATCAATTATTTTGATCGTCTCAGGTGCTTTTGGTCGACAAATTATTCCTAAAATACATGATCTTCCACAAATAGTTGCATTTTATGTATTTTGCCAAAACAAGAAACCTAACGAAGAATGGGCAAGCAAATATAATAAAGTAATATAATAATTATTCTAAAAAAAAAAAAGAATTTTTTTAATTATCTTTTAGCTTGGTATCGTCTGTACTAGTAGTTCAGAATTAATTACTAGTATCTCGAAAGATCAAAGTACTCGAACAGGTACAGAAGAAAATCCATTGATTTCTGTAATCAGTTCGAATTGTGATTCGATGGAATCTCGAAATGCCAGTTTTTTATGGTTTCAATTGTTTATCGAAGTTCTTCTACGAATGCATCATAAAGTCAGTGATCGTCAAGAAATGATCAGTGTCTGTAAGAGACAATATGCTAATGATACTAAAGCGTTAAAAATGATCGATGAATTTGAGAAAAATTATTCTCTAGATAAAGTTATCTGGTGGTATACTCGTGATACATGTTTCTATCGAATAATAAATAAAGCATTACGTATGCAAGATTTTGATATGTTATTTATCTTTCGTACATTTATTACTGATATTGCTAAACAAATTCAAGAAGGTTATGAATATTTTATTCGAACGAATCTAAGTCGAAGTACAATTTTAGTATATCGAGGACAAATGATTAGTATGGCTGAATTACAGTTAATGCAGAAGAATATTAATGGATTTTTATCAATGAATTCATTTTTATCAACGAGTCGAGATCGATCTATTGCTCTTACATTTATTCATCCTCCATCGTCTCAAGGACGAAATCAAATGCGACCGATATTATTTGAAATTGAGATTGATCCAAAATTACGAACTAAAGCTTTCGCTGATATTCGTAAGAAAAGTGATTATCATGGTGAATATGAAATATTAATTATGCTTGGAGCTTTGTTTTGTATTAAAAGTGTATCCGAAGATACGAAAACTGAAATGTGGATAGTACGTGCAACTTTAGCCAATGATGATGATTTTGATTTGAACGAACTGTTTGCTCATATGAAAAGTCAAATTGGTGATGATACTGATCTTGATAGTCTTGGAAAAGTTTTACTTCGAATGGAAGAAAATGAACAAGCACGAAAATGTTATAAACGTATGTTAAAAGAAGCACAATTAACTTTAGGAAATGCGGAACTAGGACTTGGGCGAGCTTCATTAAGATGTAATGATTGTCAGGAAGGTCTCGAACATTTTCAAGCAGCATTAGAAATACGTCAACGTCTCTTAGGAGAAAATCATCCAGATGTAGCAGAAATCTTTAGTTTTCTTGGCGAAACTTATAATAAAATGCAAAATTATGATGACGCTTTAGTTTTTTTGGTTCAGGCAATGAATATTGAAGAAGAAACACTTCCTCCTAATTCTCTTAATCTAGCAGCAACATATGATACTATAGGTGCGATCTATATGATGCTCAATCAATACGATGTTGCTTTAATTTATTATGAAAAAGTTTTACATATTCGTCAAGCAGCGTTACCCGAAGATCATCCACAAATTGCGGCAATCTATGGTAGTCTTGGATCGTTGTTTGAAAGTAAAGGAGACTATTCGAAAGCTTTAAATTATCATGAAAAATCATTAGAAATCGCAAAAAAAACACGATCAGCCACACATACTATCGTCGCTAACGCACAGGACAGTATTCGAAGATTGAAAGCAAAAATAAAACAATAATCCTATCCATATATAACTTTATTTTTTTAAATTTTGTCAAAATATTAGATTGATCCTTATATTTATTTTAATTTCTTCAAGGTGTGGGTGTGGGCGCAGATTATCTCACACAAATCCTTAAGATAAATAGAACATTGATTTATCTCAGTTTATAAAAGAATCAAATAATTGATCTAAGAGTTCAACTCTTCGCCGATGTACTCCAGAAGGATAATGCCAGTCCTGAGTGCCTGATTCTCGCCAGTAATGGACTGATCAATGATTCATGCGTCAATTCTCTGATAAGAACCAATAAAGAAATACTCTTAAAAGCGTCACTAACAAACTGGAGATTTAAAGTGTTAAATTAGGATGGGTGTGAATGAGACATAGATACAGTATTCTGTGCTTTTTATGCCCACAGTCAGACTTGCATTCATTCTTTTCATCCCGGTATTGTTTACATTTTAAGTTTCAATTTATTACCAACATAATATAATCGAAGTAGGTTTCTTTCGAATCGAATACATCCTAGACGCATCGTGCTCGTCAAAACCGTTATTTTGATTTATGATTGTTCGGAGCCATTCTATTGTTTCACTGCGCTTTCTTCTCATGAAAAAAATAGCCTTCATCCTCACTTTTTGAGTTATCATTTTCGATACTATGATCAATATTTCTCTTTGTTCAAGTTCATTGCGGTAACTATCTAATTGAATCTCGAGATGTTGAGTCGATGGAAACCACTGGAGTAGAACAGATATTTGTTTTACGGATAGTGTGCAACGAATTCTCAACAGAAGCACGTTCTCATGAATAAAGTCGTCGCCATCAATGGTATCTATGAAATATGAAGGAGATCCCATTAAACCATCGAAGGTGATTTCTTGAAGGTTGGTTAAAGTACCCGTGATTATCGGTATTTGATAAAGTTCAAAGTCGTGCTTACTAAAATGTAAACGAAGAGATGGAGATCTTATCCACTGTTTCATAATATCACGCAAATGGCAGCACAGGTTCCGATTAGTGTCAGAATCACTCACTCTCAAAGTAAACTCGGACGATGGTGATGTTAATGTTCGTTTCCTGAAAAAAAACAGTTAGGAGATAGATTTCATTTCATACGTAACTGCGAAAAATTACTTTCTGAATTCAAAGACGATTGCATCTTCACGCAACATATACGCATCGTAGGTGATACTCCATGGTTCCTTATCCCATATAGGTAGCTTGAACAAATTCATCGAAAATTGTCGAAATTTGTTCCCTAATCTGATTAAATCGCCACACTCGTACCATAACCTGATTTTGAGTTTCTCTAGTTGTGGTAAATTTTCATTGAGAAGTTTATTCCATTCAGTGGCATCCTTGATGAAGTTTAGAACTCGAAATATTAATTTTAGAGATTTCGTTGTGACACCAAGTTCAGCGATGACCTTCCTCGATGCATAAACGTCAGGCCAGCGACAATCAAAACCGATGGATAGTGTTGACAACTGATGGAGTTTAGGTACTACGAATAGCTCCGCGGCCCTGTTCGGATCTGATTGAACTTGGCTGACCTGAAGACAGCGAAGTTTTGGCGTTTTCTCAAGGAGAAACTGTAATTGTTGTAGCTGTATTGAATGTAAACATTTGAGAATTTCGATATTGGTTTGTTTGGTACCGATATTTAATTGTTCAAAAGATAAATCGCAAGTAGTCGAGTATGAATTTTCGATAGTCAGGGAGATCAGAGTTGAACATTGAAGTGCTATGGAGTAGATATGATTCAGTGCATTATTTCTGAGCACCGACAGATCGGATTTGATCTGTAACGCGTTGAGTCGTGGCAGTAACGGAAGTGTATGTAATAGTGGCAGTAAATCTTGCAGTTCGCTCTCGTACAATGAGATTGACTCGAGACGAGTGAATGACTCGTTCAGTGCGCATTGGGACAACACTGTTCGAATTCGACCTACCCGATTGAATTTCAAAGAACGGATTCGGCTCTTGTTCGGTACGATGAGTTCATGACAATATTGTTCTATCTTTGGCGAATCTTTCGAGCAGAAGAAGAGTGATACAGATCGACCCGAATAATGATCAATGAGTTGTGAGAAGCGCTGGTTGAGGTTGTGAAGTGTTTGTTGAATATCTTTTTCATCAAGATAATCGATGATTTCTAGAATTATATCATTAGGCAAATTTTCAAATTGAGTGTGAGCTTGATTGTTGATCATATGACAACATTTCAGTCGCTTTGCTTTAGGACGTGCAGCCATTGAACAATGTAGTAATGTAGCGTTATATGGTCACAGCTACTCTAAAAAAAAATTTAATCGAACAAGATGGAAAATGTGTCGACAGAGAATAATATATATGCGTATAATTAAATGGAAATTTTCATTGATAAACAATCTGGTTTTACATCAGAAAGACGATTAGAAAAACGAATCCTATTACTAGTGAAATAATACACAGTCAATGGCTATTTGTATAGATACTGATTAAAATTTTACATATACATTGAAAGATCAGCGGAAGTGCATAAATATCATTTAAGTTTCGTTTCATATCTGGTATCTAGATATCCCGAAAAGAATGGGTACAGCTCAATGAATATGCGTAAAAATAGTAAATTTCTAAATAGATTAGCAAAGAGGGTAAGACACGCGAAAATTGAAGTAATTAACTTTTTAAATAAACAATATCAGTAATATGGGTATTATAAATATGCTACCTCTCCTATGTAATTTTTTATATAAATATATTTGTTATAAGTTTCATAAACATACATGCATTTTTTCATTCATCACCAAAGTCAACACATTATTTCTTTTTTTCTTTCTTTTTTTACTTTAAAAGATGTCGCTGCTTGATACGAGTGATTTTCTTTTTTTAAATATTGATTTCTTACTACCTTAGTTATTGTTCTGTTTTGCTTCCTTTCATCTTAACAAGCAATTGTCAACCTCAGTTCATAGGGATAATAGAGAAAATATTAAAAAAAAAAATCTCTAATTAAAATTAAGTCTCTGTTAGAATTATAATAAGCACTTAAAATGAAAAATTCTTTTTGTACATTGACAGCGCTACATATTTATTTTCAGATGGCTGCGTGGAGAGGTTGCGAAGCATCATCTGATTGGATTATGTGCATAATGCAACTGAATATGTGTTTGTTGTGATGTTGTTTCTGTGAATTTTATCAAATTTCTCAGTAAGTCATAGTTTCAAACAGTCTCATACGCCATATTAGAGATGTATTAACTTGTCATTCGCTATTACATATAGGTGTATATATATGAACACGATGTTTCTAATAGGGGTGTTACCTTATCTTTACTTTATTCTTTATTATAAAGTAAAACAAAGATAAAGTAGCAGCCTTAGTTTCTAACCAAATTGAGTATTTTTCAGTTTCAAAATATATTTTCTAGATACAACAACATAGTACGCACTTAACAGAAGTGTGATTATCTGTGAAATGAATTATAATAGAGTAGAACATCCATCATGGTTTAATACAAAAAAGATTGAATCTGATTTATATTTAACAACAGAAGATTATTATTATCTTGGTAATCGTCCGAATAGTTGGCTTATACGTGGAACAAATCGAGATGTTGTTATTGATACTGGTCTCGGTGTTTGTAATTTGAAACAACATTTGGAAAAACTTGAATTATTAGATGCTAATCGTGAATGTATTGTTGTTTGTACTCATTCACATTTCGATCATAGCGGTGGTGCACATCATTTCGATAATGTACTTAT